GCTCTCAATTGTTCGTTGCCAACGGTCGATGGCCGCCCATTGCGCTCATCATCTTCCAGGCTCTCATCACCGGTACGAAATTTTTCAAACCACCACTGTGCTGTGCGTTGATTCATCGTACCTAGATCTAAGTCATCGTTGATATCCCGGTCCGTTTCCGTCGCGCTCCTGCCCAATTTGGATTGGAAAAGGAAAACCATGCGGATCTGTCGTTTGTCCATGCTGATTTCGACCTTCTAAAAAACCACAGGAATCACTCCAGGGCAATACCGATTATATATGTGGATAGGGCAAGAAATGCGCTTCAGAATGGTATAAAACTTGCAAAAAATCTAATAGCAAATAACATCGCGGCGAGCATTTGAGAATTAGGCGTCAAAAACCGCAAGAACTTTCTTCACGACCTAATATTTCCCAGAGCGATAAAGCAGCAAAACGGTCAAATTTCAGCTTACATTTAATTAGATTAACAAAAAGGCCAATTCGGGGTCACGATTACAATAAACAAGTATCTGGCTTCGAAAGATCGTGACAAAAAACGGTCCATGTGAATTGTTCAACCTAGCGAAGGGCAAGGTAAATAGTCGATGATCCTACCTGGTCCTTCCCTTACCTTCCTTTAAATCCACAGTTCACGATAAAAATAGTTTCTGAGCTCTCCCCCTAGGAATACCCAGGGCCCCAAGGGCAGAGGAAGTATGCTGCCGGGTCCAAAAACTCAACAGTTAGGGCATAGTGGGAGCCTCACCACTGGAACGCCCGGATGCCACCCCTATTGACCGATGACGTGTCAAGCGAGTGTCGAGGCGATACAGATTGCAATACTTGCGCCAGACCCCACAGTCAGCACGCAATCAGCTGATCGCCGAGTAGTGAGGCGATGCTTTCATCCTTTCCTATTATTATCTGCTATTCTTTTTGCTGCTGCGATCCTTCATTTAATTTTCTATCTCAAGAGGTTGAAAAATGTTTTTCTATTTTTGCTGTTACCAGCATTTTTGTTAACTTACGCTTAGAAGTGAATGAATTTTACAGGACATTTGCTTACTGTCGTCAGCTATTCGCACCATAACCCACGCGCTCGCAATGACACACATTGTACAGCTCGTCCAAACACCCATCCTTCTTCATTTTTCTTCTTCTCGTCAAGCCCCTTTGTAATGACTTTTTCGAAGCCTTTTATCATTTTGGAAACGCCCATGGAAGGCGCTTTCTTCGCCTTCATCGCACATCTTCAAAGTTATCTTCCATTTTTCGTCATAATCTGGATTACCCAAAATCATCGTGATCTGTGCCTTTAACATAAGGGCAGGTATGAGCAATATATAATGCACTGAAACTAACATTAAAATATGATTAACTAAAACAAACCACATGAAAGTCTTGATCTCTGAGAAGTACAGCACTGCCATCACAGTCTGGGCAGCGGCTTTAGCTGTTCCCGATATGTTGTGGGTGAGAGCAGAAGTGGCCTGAAATCAAAGGGAGCTGCGGCATGTTGAGAACAACTTGCGGAAAATTTATAATTTATTTGTACAGTAACCTGAAAACAGAAAGGTAGTAAAAGTTCCTAAATAAGGAATATTTGGACATTCTTGGACACACATTAAGATAGGTGGAGCTTTTACAGTGAAGGCACGGTGCAGGTCTTTCACATGAGTTTTAATGCTTCGTGCTTCATTTTATAAAGCTGATCAGTTAATTACTGTCTCTTAATCTTCATGACACACCTGAATCTGCCATCCAGTAACGTATCCCATGAGGAAACCAAATATACCAGATAATGACATCCACATCCAAAACACAGGACTAAACAACCTAGGAAAGTAGAACAGCTCGCCGAACTCTCCACTGAAACGACAACACTTATCAACAACAGTAATAGGCAGTGTACAGATGAGTCCTTTTTTCTTTAACAAATCAACTTACAAAAAAAGCATGAAAGGCAGGAAAAGGATTATAGCGTTGAGATTGTTGTACATCGTTAGTCGCCAAATAGAATCTCCAACAATTGGAAGAGAACTATAAACAAATCATTCAAAACTATGCCAAGTATTAACCAACCTTTTCATTTACTCCTTTTAAATATAAGCAATGCCCGTAAGCGTACCTTTGCGTATAGATGGCATTTAATGCAACACAAAGTGACGCCAAAACACCGTATATAACTCCGATAACAGAAAGAGACCCTAAACACCATTCAAGTCAAAGAGAATACTCTCAACACGTAAATTACCATAGAACTTGCTGGACAGTAACCCTGACTTGCTTTCCGATTTTGCGGAACGATATTTTAATGAAGTTGTTGGTGTTTTCTTACATATTGTACGTAGATGTAAAGCGCCTATTCGGTTGATACGTAACCGTGAAGAGAACCCAATGGAGAAAAGTTCTTCGGTAATTGTCTCTCTTTTGTGTTTTTCGTTGCTTTTACCACCAGGCCGTGGAAAATGTTCTAACAACATAGCTATTCTATAGATGAGTACGAATTCCGACATTTATGGCGTAATTCAGCATATCATATTTTGACCAAGGCAAACAATCTGAAGTTGAAAGAGCAGCAAAAGCGCAAAGGGAAATCTTTGGTTCTGTTTCTCAAATCTCAGATGAAAGATTCATCAGACCGGTGTATGAATAATTCGCTGTATTGGTAAGAAAAATCGATGACAATTAAGCACACTGATGCATCCCTTAAATATCAATAGAATTTTTCATTGCGTAAGAGTAGAATAGTGGTAGCACGTACAGTAGCGCTCAAAAGCGTTTTTCGTAGTAGACCATATCGCGCAAAATTTGGATATGTTTAACTAGAGCATATTTCACTTTACACAACACTATTTGACTGCGATGCTGCAATATCCACAGATAGAGCAAGGTATTTGTTGCGGTAGCAGATTTTGCTAAAACTAAAGTTGTTGACGTCTGCAGTTTCTCAAAACTTATGTGCGTTTTTCTTGTCTACTATGTTCGGCATTAGCGCTCGTACACTTTGGACATGACGAAAAGGAAAGAATTCCTAGAAGGACCAATGTTTGTATTTCCAGTTGATTTTGATTTCAAGCTCTTTGGGATATCAGGAACATGACCAGATGGCAGGTTAACAGTGGTATATATTCACAATACACCAATGCTACACATATCGAAATTTCGCGTGATTAGATCCAGTAGAAAGAGGTTACTACTGAAAGGTACGGCTGAAGAACCATTTCACCGAAGACTTCTGAGCGCTACTGTATTTCCCGTCAAACTTATTGACCTACCCACTCTTCTCACTGCATAACAAAGTGTGAACAAGACATGATCAAGAGGCGTTTAGGAAAATAACTTACAAATCAGAAAGTAGATTCGACTTCTGAGTCAAAGAGCACGTTTGTGATGAATATTTCTTGATACTATGATCTTTACGAACTCATTATGCATACCTGAGGCATCTTCTTGATCGACACCCATGAGGAATCCTGCTACTATAAGAAAACAGCACCCTATAGCTCGAAGAGAGGTTCTCTGGCCCAAAATCAAATATGTGCACACCTGAACTTTACGATTAGTGAAGTCAAAAAGCTAAAAGTATATGATGGGGTTGCGAATACCCCACTCACCACATTAAATACAGTTGTGAGGCAACGTCCTAGATAATAGAATGATACGCCCACGTGTTTAAGGCAAAGATTATTAAATGCAATCATTCCAACAAACACCAATGACAGCGGAAGAACCTACAAAAAAGGTGCTCCATAAACCAATTCTTTACCACAGTAAGATCATCTCACTTTAATATACTCGATAAACGGATGCAGGATTGGAAAATGAAAAGGCTTTCTGCAGCCAAATCTTCATGACTCGAAACAGAAGTGTTCAGCTTGAGTGTGCTCAAAACTCAAGAGTCGGTACTCGATTTTTTTTTTCGGTTCTATCAAAACGAAGACGATGGAAAAAAAGTCTGAGTCCATACCCAAAGTCAGCTCACGTTTTGATTTAAAAGAAGGCCTCATTCAAACCGTCCTGTGACTTTGACCTTTCGACAACGTGATGAGTTCCATTTTCCAGACCACCTTAACTTCTTGTTGCTCTTCTAGACGGAGTTTTTGGGGCAGGTGAAAGAGTTATCCGTTAAAACGAGAAGATCGGTCAGATGCGATTGTTTATTTGAGGAAGTCCACTCGGATCAAGATAACTCAGTGCCTGGATGAAGGGGAAAGGAGGGATGCGAAATGAATGCAGTTATCAGCAGAGCTACCGCAGCCGTGGTGGCTTCCCCTTCTCCCTTCCCCATCACCCGTTCTGTTGATACACTCACTGTTGTTATTCAAGTTCAGATCCCTGGAATCATACAAGAATTTAGGGTCCTCCTTGCACCAGTGCTCTTAGCTCTGGCCTTACATCCCATTAAGTGGACTTTGATAGTGGGAACTGATACGTGTCGTCAAAACCATTATTTGGGTCGTTGTTGACAAGACAGTCCCACATTGTCTCCGAAGTTGAGCAGTGGAAATGGTGGAAATGATGTGAGCCACTCATTGGGATTCCAACTTACAAGTAGCCGTAGTGCGCTAGTCTGAATTGCAACTAGTTAAGAGTTGCTCTGCCGGTTTCTGATGGGTAACACCCTCGAATTTCGGGACGCAGGCCTTTGAGAACGAAGATTTTAAAACGTCAGACACAAAGAATATTCTACCCGTTCGTCACAGAAGCATTGATTACTTCTAATACAGAAACAGCTTTCAATGACATATGATGCACAACTAACAGCGAACAGTACTCTCGATCTAACTTTCCTTCAAAATCATGCGGCCCAACAGGAGTTGAAGTCCTTAACACGTTGACGACGAGCCAATTTTTTCGTGTCTGTCCCGTGGGACGACACTGTTTCTTTTTTGGAAGTTTGTTATTTCTCGAAAAAACGAGTGATTACATTCAAAAACATTTGGAATCCGCGAACCTTAGAGCAGTATTCAAATTTTGCCCAAGTTTCGGCTACTCGGGGTAATTTCAAATTTGGCGGTGGTAAATTTGAATTAGGGGTATATAAATAGGATCTATAAGAGTATAATTATTCTTGCGACTATTTTTGTCATCATGAGTGTCATGGATATTGGAATGGAAGACTCAACGAAATTTTTGACCACTGGCTGACTCGACAGCGACGAAGATGCTGCAGGTGGTTTAGGCGGTGTCCATATGGCTCCTGCGGTTGATCCTGTCTTGTATTTGTATTATTCATCTTGGAATCAATTTAATAGGTGGCCGGGGCTATTTTGGACACTTATAAGCCTAAATTGAAAATCTTCACAAAAAACGGAACGAGCGCTTACACTTTAATCGAAGAACGCACCGTCGCGCAGCATTGCGCGACATCGTCCCATGAGACAGACTGGCTGTCGCGCACCGTTGCGCGACATTGTCGTCAACGTGTTAAGATTATCACCATTTACCTCCTTGGACTGACGATGATATTCGTTAAAGTATTCTTGCCTAATTATTCCAGTGTATCGCATTATTGGCTGTTTTTAGGAGGATTACAACGAGAGCAAGATATACAACGCTACGGTTCATCGAAAACTTGTCAAACAATTACACAATTTTACATCTCTGTTCTAGATCCAGAAGGAAACGAACCTCTCTGCTGATCTTCGCATCAAGTGTCATACGAGGGAATGTTATAACATGAGGAAGACTTTTGGACAAAAATGATAATAAGAAGCAAAGGCCGACGGTAACGACACACTGGTACCATGTAACGAAAAGGGGGGCGTTTAGCTGAAAAAAAGCAAATCGTAATCCAAGCATAACAAATATGTGAATATTCATCACAAACCTGTAGATCACTGCTGCTCAGGAGATATTTGTTCAGAAATACTAGTCCTATAGAGCAAACCCTGAAATATGAAATCAATTTGGAAGAGGAGCGAGCTCACACTCTAGCCTGAGAAAGACATTTTTACCCTCGTGGAAGCAAAATTTTAAGCGAGAAATCAAAGAATCTTAAGGCTTGACAATCCTGTACTACTAATTTAATAAATAATATAACTAATGTACCACTTAAATATTTTAACGTCGTTAGTTCACTTGGATCACTGGGAACTGCTAATAAGGTTAAGGCGGTAATCGTCGGGAACTTTTCGAACTACTCAATACATCAAGTACCTCTTGCATAGAACCGCCACTCGAAGTTGTTGTATAGCGGTGCCCCCCACGTTACAACTACATCTCCACCCATCTTTGTCCTCAAAGGTTCAGGTTTTTCCAGCACTGACAAGGGAAGGATAATTGGTCGCAGTGGCCATTCAAGATGAGATGTATACCCCCGTAGGTGTTTTCGAACGCTGATCTCAAATCTGTATTCCAAATCTGCGAAACGATCCTGGGAACAAAGTTACGGGACCGGGGCCTCCCTG